AACTCAGCAGGATCTTACCGAGATCTTGAGAGTGCAGACGCCTTCCTCTTTGGGAACATGAGTCACTGCACTTTCAAAATGCAGTGAATTTGTTACAGTCACAGTGTAAACCCAGAATAGAAGGAGCAGACGTTGAGTGACACATGGCAGAGCAGGGCGTGGGGCAGTGTCAGTTCAGCCTTTGTTCTCCTGACAAACGGTGACGGCTTAGAGCCCTGCTTTTGCCCACTTTTCATCTGAATCACCTAAAATGGTTAAAACACAACCCCAACCCCTGGGTTCCTGGAGCAGGACCACTCGGCCTAGTGGACTGCCAGAGGCGAGGGCGTTCGTGGGGAGAAAGGACTCCTCCATCAGAAGTGAATCAGGCGTTTCGGAGGTTTCAGGGATGGTGTTGTATTTTCACGTCAGGTGTCTGTAGACTGTACTGTCTGTGGAAACACTGGACAGCCGCTGGTGAACTGTCCCAACATCCTGAACAGTGAGGGACCCTCAGGATGCGGCCTCCACCCACAGAGCCGGGGGCACTGAATCCTGCCATCGTGGAGCGCAAACACACTGTGTGAAGGCGGTTCGTTGTTTCTTCCTAATCTGGAGGCGCCCATTGCTCTTGGACCAGGACGAGTTGGGGTGGGCATGTTATTGTCGTGCATTCGGGAACAGAAGTGTGAGGGTGTCGGCCATGCTCTCCATGGGCCTGCGGCCTTGGACCGTCCTGTTAGGACATGGTGACCTCGGTGCTCGACACGTGGATGACTGCGTGGAGATGCGGCCATGCTGCCGCCCCCTCGTCCAGCCCAGGATGCCCTGTCCAGCTGTGTCCCTCCCCAGGACAGGGCCTTGCTCGGGCTGGGTGGGGGCACCCAGACGAACCCTGGGGGCTCCTTTTGTCAAAGTAACTGTCAGTACCAGACCTGAAATTGTGCTTTTGCCAACTATTAAATGACATTAGAAACCACATAAAAGAATAGCTTCTTTTAAAGAACGGTACACAGCTTTAAAATGAGGGAAAGTGCAGAGAAGGAAATTCCTCCTGTGCCCTGGTCAACTGGTCCTGTCCGCACCACATTTCTCCTTCTTGTTTCTCCTCTATGCTATTTATTTTTCCATCTGGACTTTAGAATCAACCTGTCTTGCTCCAGATAGAAAAAGAAACTGGAATTTTTATTGCGATTTGTTAAGTTTACAAATGACCTGAGGGAAAACTGCCCTCCTTATGACGTTGAGGCTTCCTGCTCAGGCGTACGGTTCACCTTTTTGTCTGCTCACATCCTCTTTCAGGAGATTTTAAAGCTTTCTTCATGGAGATCTTTTACTTTCCTGCTTAATTTTCGTCCTGAGTATATATCTCTTTTGTTTCTATGTAGAGTTCTTTTCTTCTGTTAGAGCGTCTACTGACAAGCAATGTGGTTTCTCCGTGTTAATTTTGTGCCTCATGGATTCTTCCTTTAGGGATTTTCAGGGGGTTTTCTTGGGTTTTTGGGGTTGCTGTGATAACACCCACAAAGAGGAGTAATGCTGCCCCCTCCTTTCCAGTTCTGATGCTGTTCATTTCTTTCTCTGTCTAATGTCGTTGGCCAGTACCTACCTCGTTTGGGGTGACTGGTGATGGTGGGCAGACCTCTCCTCCTGACCCCATGGGAATGCTTCTGGTGTTTGCACTGCGAGAGCAATGCCGGCCACTGTGGGCCATCTGGGTATTGGGAAAGCAGAACCAAACCACTCTACGCATTTCAGACAGCTGGCATTGGCATGTGCTACAGCTGGCTGGCAGGGTGTTGGGAGAGGAGGGGGGCAAAGGGAGCAGAGACCAGGGTCACCACTTTCGGCCTTCACTCGGGGTTCCAGGTCTGCAGAAGAGGTGCCCCACCTGCCGGGGCTAGAGGCTGAGGAGGTGCTGCTCCACCTGAGCTGCTGGAAATGGGAACAGCCCCTCCCAATTCCTAGACCGCATCATCCATTCTCCTCCAGGGCCTTCCGCTGGCAAAGGGGCCTGAGAAATGCGGCTTGCAGGCTCCCAGACCCAGCAGTTGGGAGATTATAGACGGGGTGAGAAAAGACAGGCCGATAACTGGCACAGAGAGTTGTCCTTTGTCTTAAGGAAGTTTACATCTGTTTCTCTTTTACTATCAAGAGAGAACACTGAATTTTTTCAAAGATCTTCTCAACATTTATGAAGGTGATGCTTGTGAGTTTTACTCCTTAGGGCCTCCTAAAATGATGAATTGTGTCATCATAATATATTTCCTAGTGTTGAACTATCCTTGAATTCCTGGGGAAAACCGTACCTGGTCTTAGTGTATTATTCTGTTAATGTGCTTTTGCATTTAATTTGCTAATATTTTATTTAGGATTTTTTCATTGATATTCATGTTGATATTTGATTGATCTATAGTTTCCTTTGTACAATCCTTATTGGATTTTTTAATTGTCCTTATTTTTTTATTTCCTGCAATATTCTAGATAGCGTTGGGGTGATCTCTTGGCAGGATTCCCCATGAGACTGCTGGGGCCTGGGCTGTTTCAGAGGGTAGCTACCTCTCTCTGCCTCTCAGTTTTTGTTTGTTATTATTTTTACATTCCCTGGTGGTAACACTCTCACCCTAGTCCTGTAGCTGCTTCGCTGTTTGGGTCTCTCCTTATTTGCTCAGTTTCCTCATCAGGCAGTGTCTCCGAGTCCAGGAAGGGCGTGAGGTTTCATTCCTTGCATTCTTTCACATTTGAGAATGCCTGCATCCACCTCTGCACTTGGACCCCAGCTTAGCCAGGTCACACCTGCCCTCAGATGCTCACAGGTACTTTGTGAGTGTGTTCTGGCATTTATCCGCTATGGGGAGACCAGAGGCCCGTCTGTTCATTTTCCCCCTCTGGTAGGAGAGTTCTTCGGGCAATGTGAAACCCTAGCGGCCTAGCTTTGTCAGCTTTCCTTCTCTGTTAGCATCCTTCTCAGGGCTTTGATCTCTGTCCAGTCTGCGCTCACTGGGCACCTTAAGTGTCCTGAGTCAGGAATTTGGTTTTTGACCACGGCGGATGTGGCCAGCTCCTGGTTTATAGTAGTACCTCCTGATCTCATCATACCGTATCTCATGCTATTGATTTTTCCCTCTGGGCTGATATGTGGGTCCTAGGACGTTTTCCATGAGGGGTGTGGGGGACCACCTGGCGAAGTGGTGTGATTAGGACCCTTGTGCTAAGGAGAAAGTCTATACCCAGTCCTTGCTCTGAGGTTCTGTGTGCCAGGGAAACTTGACAAAAATAGGTGAATTCTATGGCAAGGTCAAGGTGACTGGAGCCTTTCCAAGCATATCCTTTGGAGGCAGGGGAACAGGATAAACGTGAAGCAGTGAACCGTCCCAGCCCTTCCACATATGCTGGGTTTTTCTTAAGGACGGTGCCCCTGCTCTCGGCCTGCGGAGTGGAGGTCTCTGGCTGCTGCCTTGGTATTCTATTTGCTTTTGTTTCCGTTTCTGCATATTTACATATTTCAGAGTTGTTTCTAGTCTAAATACGCGGTCAGACCTCCAGAGATGATTTGCAGCTTGTTCACTTGCTCTGTGTATGTGGCGCTCTGTCCTCCCTGGGCTAATGCTGGGCGCTCCTGGGAGGCAGGAGGACGGGCACGTCATTTCTGAGTTGGTGATGCAGACTCAGCGTGCCGAGAGCCCGCAAGAACCAGAGAACGGTCGGATTTGCTCCCCCTCCTCCTTTACTCTCGACTCCCTCCTGCACAGGCCCTGCTGAGCCGAAAACACCCCAGAGGAGCCGTTGACCTAAAAATCTATGAGCCGCCCTCAGCAGAGCATTTCTAGAAAATTGTGTGTGAATTTAATTTTGAAAATGGACTCTTATTAAATGTGAGGAATATCTTATCAGGAGAGAAACCAGCTGGTAAATTGTTTGGAGACCTGAAGGGCCCTATGTGCGTCCAGGTGACATCATGCATGCAATCCCCATCCTTTAAATCACAGGATTGGGCCAGCCCCAGCCCTGACCCCCTCGACTTCTGCCCGTGGAGGGGCGGCTGGCATCTCGGTCTCACTGTGGCCGGATCAGCACTCCTGACTCCCCACCCCCGGCCTGCTGCTCCGCATTGTCCCCACGCTGGAACCCAGCATCCGGGCTCTCCCCTGGAGTCCCTCCCACTCCTCCTTTCTTTCCTGGTGCCCAGCCCACCACAATCTTGTCAGCTCTGCCTCAGCCCCTCCTCGAGGCCCCACTCCCTGGCCCAGGCCACCTGTGCTCACCTGGCGACAGGGTACCTCCTTCAATCCTCGAGCCCACCCACTTAGCCCTCCCTGAGGTCAGTCCAGACTCAGCGGCCGGAGCAGTCATTCACCAGATGGTATGGTCCCCACCACCTGGCCCGTGCCCCTGGCTGTGCACCTGCCACCTGCTCTTCTGCCCATTCCTCTGCCGGGTCGAGCTGGTCCCCTTGGCCTCGGGGTGGTCCCGCAGCTCTTTGCTCTCCCCCTGCTCCCACACGCCGCCCAGGCCTCTCTGCTCCCTGGGGAGGCCCTCCCTGGCCAGCTGGCCACGCAGCACCCTCCCCACCCTTGGGGGGCCCCTGCCACCACCCCTGCCTCATTTTTACCTGTTTTACCCCGAGGCAGGCCTGGCCCTGTTAGGAGACCAAATGAGTGAATGAAAGTTGTCTGTGTTTTGTCTTCTGAGATTTACTCCTCGGGGTCAGCATTGAGCCGCATCTGCCGACAGGCAGGGTCTCTAGGCGTTGCCCACGATGGCGCCTTGATGACCCAGGCACAGAGCCCCGCCTTGGCTTCGGCATCCCGTCTCAGTCTGGGCTGCTTTCCCCACGGACCCCGGGAGCAGGTCAGGCGACCCCAGTGGCCAGCAGGCGGAAACGGTTGTTTCACTAGTGAGAGTAAAGCTCCTGGGAAGGTTCTCGGCCACAGGGGCTTCTTCATGTGGAGTGTCTCAGGTGAGGTCCACGTTGGCCACTGTGTCATTGCACCCTCCATCGCCCTCTCTCTCCCGCTCAGGTTGTTCCTGGTCATAGAGTACGTCAACGGTGGGGACCTCATGTTCCACATGCAGAGACAGAGGAAGCTTCCGGAGGAGCACGCCAGGTGGGTGTGGGTGGATGGGTCCCGGCCCGGTGGGCACGGGCACGGGGAGGAAGGGGCGGGCATGGGGACCTTCCGTGGGAGGTCAGCGTGAGTTGGAAGGAAGGAGATGAAGTCTGGGAGATGGCAGAGGTCACCGCTTTCCCCTGCTGTGTGACAAATTCCTAAGCTGCTCAGGAGTCATAAAATTCGGAAAGGTCTTCTGAGTTACAGAGCCTCAGCCCCGGCCCGTGGGGTCTGACCCTCCAGGAGCGGAATTGTGCCTCTTCCAGGGGAAACAGGTGTTTTGTGGGAGGAGGGCATGTTTGTACAATGTCCTAGTCTGGCCTTTTCCCCGTTTCCAAAGTGGGGGACAAGTTCCAACAATAAATGTGCCTGAGGGGACATTGTGGCTGGCGCCTCCGGTTTTGTTTCATGTGGATACAAAGCAGGGGTTTGCTCTGCACAAGGAGAAAAATAATCACCATTTCTCTTTAAATGACACTCAGGGCCACCCACCCCTTCCTTTCTGCTGGCCGTCACCAACTGCCCTCCATGGCCTCGGGCCCATGGGCATTTATTTCCACTCCATCCATCTTTCCTGTTTTCCATCATTTTCCCTTTTCCTCATTTCCTCACTTAAAAAAATTCCATGCAGTTTTGTGAGTCACCTTAGATCCTTTTTGGGGAAAAGCAGGTAATAAATCAAAAATAGTGCACTCCCCACACACTCACTTTTTCTTTTTAATTTTGGTCAAATACACATAACATAAAATTTACCATCCAAACCATTTTTAAGTGTACAGCTCAGTGGCATTAAGCACGTTCACCTTGTGCAACCATCACCACCCTCCATCTCCAGAACTCCATCTTCCCAAACTGAAACTCTGTCCCCAGTGAACACTCACTCCCCATCCCCTCCCCCAGCCCCTGGCACCCACCATCTACTTTCTGTCTCTGTGGATTTGACTCCTCTGAGGGCCTCCTGTGATTGGGATCACACAGCGTTTGTCTTTTGTGACTGGCTTCTTTCACTCAGCATAATGTCCTCCAGGTCCATCCATGTTGTAGCGTGTGTCAGTATTTCCCTCCTTTTTAAGGATGAATAATATTCCGTTGTGCTTATAGGCCACGTTTGTTTATCCATTCATCTGACAGTGGACATTGGGGTTGTTTCCACCTTTTGGCTCTTGGGAATAATGCTGCTGTGAACATGGGTACACAAATATCTGTTCAAGTCCCTGCTTCCAATTCTTTTGGGCATGTACCCAGACATGGGATTGCTGGATCACAGGGTGATTCTATGTTTAATTTCTTGAGGAGCCTCTACACCGTCTTCACAGCAGCTGCTCCATTTGACATTCTCATTTACAACGGTGCACAGGGTTCCAATTCCTCCGCAACTTTGCCAACACTTGTTATTTTCTGTTTGGTTTTTGGATAGCGGCCGTCCTCCTGGGTGTGAGGTGGTGTCTCGTTGTGGTTTTGATTTGCATTTCCCTAACAGCTAGGATGTTGAGCATCTCTCATGGTCTCGTTGGCCCCATGCACATGTCAGCGAGAGGACACGGGGTCACCTGGGTGGGGAGCAGTCGGGGTCAGCAGTGGTCCCCTCTGGTTTACGCTGTTCGCACGGGCCCCTCGTCCAGGCTCTTTGCTGGGTTCTCTCTGTTGACGTCAGGATGCTCCCCCACCCCAGATTCTACGCTGCTGAGATTTGTGTCGCTCTCAACTTCTTACACGAGAGAGGGATCATCTACCGGGACCTGAAGCTGGACAACGTCCTCCTGGATGCCGATGGCCACATCAAGTTAACGGACTACGGCATGTGCAAGGCGAGCAGCCCTGGTCCCGTGCGATGCTGCTGCCTGCCTTCCTGGGTCACGGTCAGCACAGCACCTCGACCTTTTGAAGGTCGAGACCCCACTTGGTGTAGGGCAGAGATGCTGACCGACCGGCCACTGTGGCTCTGGGGTGACCAGGCCTGGGTGCCTCCCGCTTGGACTGTCCTAAGTTGGTTTTCTCTGAGGCAGGTCGTTCCACCAATGGGGTCGTATCTGGAGGTTTCCCTCCCTCTTGGTAACTGGCTTTGTCCCCACAGGAAGGCCTGGGCCCTGGTGACACGACAAGCACTTTCTGCGGAACCCCAAATTACATCGCCCCAGAAATCCTGCGGGGAGAGGAGTATGGTGAGGACAGCGGCTGCTGGGCGGGTTGGGGAAGCTGTCTCGTGCACAGGAGGCAATATGGACGAGAACAACCCCCAGACCCTGGAAGCTTTTTGTCCTTGGGGACACAGTCACAGAGCAGAGAGGGAGGGAAGTGGACCTGCCTGGGGGCGACCCTGCCAGGGGTTCTTACCAAGGGCTCCGGGCCCTGGCCCAGCTGCCAGGGAGGGCAGGTTATTGACCAAATTACACTTAAAACATACCCCCTTACTTTGTTCCCAGCCCTATCACCATCTGGCCTCAGCCCCCAGCCCCTATCTGCTGTCCCGTGTGTCCCCTCGAGTGTCCCCTGGTGGAGGACCCTGGATGGGATTCCTCTTATCAAGGATCCCTAATGGCTTGGGAAAAAGGAAAAGATGTATGCAGCAAAGACAAACTCAGGGGTCCGGGCACTCCGAGTCAGTGGGTGCCGCCCCTCAGCCATGGAGAAATGAGGCCGTAAACCATGCCCACCAGAAGCTCCTGCGGCCCCTGCTGGTACTGGAGTGCATTCTGCCTTCTTCCTTCTCTGGGTGTAAAATGAAAATGGGATTATAGCATGTGTGCGTGCATGTGCGTGCATGTATGTGTGTGCGTGTGCACACCCCACGCACATTTGTGTCCTGGTGTTCCTAGTGAAGCCTATCACAAATACACCATCAAATATTTATAAACGTTTTCTTTGCCATTGAAATGGGGAGGGAGGCACTCTGCCTTCTCAGATAACTGGACACCAGGGAGGCTACTACTGCTGAAGTCACTTAGTAGCAGAGGAGGACAGACAGCAGATCGGTGGACCAGAACAGAGTCTAGAACCGGCCCGTGACTGAGATCCCAGATGTAGCAGAGACTCTAGGGACAGCTGGCCTCCATGGCAAAACTGAAGTCAGAGCCTCCTGTTCCACCGTGCACTAAAATTCATTCCGGATAGATTAACTGCATTCGAACATTAAACCAAGGCAATGAAAGTAGAAAAAAATGTGGGAAAGTATTTTTTGCAATCTTAGAGAAAGGGATTTTTCAGGCTCAGGTAAATAAAAAGAGAAATGAGACAGGACGGTTGTCCAACAGATTTGCTCAATTTTACGTGTCCGTGTGGTCAGAGGTACCACGAGCAGAATTAAAAGGCCAGGTGACAATCTTGAAAACACGTGCAGTGCCAGGTAGAAGGTTAATGGCTTTGATGTCAAAGCAGCTTTGCAACTAGTTATGAGAAAGACAGGCGTCCCCGGGACTGGGCAGAGGGGAGGCCAGGCCGCCTGCGTGGAGCTGGGCCCACCCAACCTCAGCGCTGGTCAGAGAAGTGCAGACTGTTGCTCCTGCGCTCTGCTGCCTCCCCGTGACTGGATGTGTCGTAAGGACCCAGAGACGGGCATGTCCTGCGGCCGGTGCACATGGCCAACCAGCCGTCGTGACGGCCCGTGCTCTCCCTCCAGGGTTCAGCGTGGACTGGTGGGCCCTGGGCGTCCTGATGTTCGAGATGATGGCCGGCCGCTCCCCCTTCGACATCATCACCGACAACCCTGACATGAACACCGAGGACTACCTTTTCCAAGGTGCGTGGCGCGCCCGGCGTCAGCTGAGGATTCTGCTGCCGTCCGTCCCCCAGGCTGTGCGTTCGGTTCCTCCTTGGCTAACGGGTGTTTCCCCTCAAAAGTGGGGGCAGGTGGGCCTGCCCCCCAGGCAGGGCCCCGAAGTGCTATGAAAGCGCACCTGTGACCATTTGTCCCCCACAGACTAGGTCAGGCCAGCCCTGTTCTCACAGACCTGCCCTCAGGAGGCAGAGACCAGGTCGTGGAAGTGGTGACGGCCATGGGGTGGGGAGACTGCTCATCACTGGAAAACAGAATCTGTCCTGATTTGGCCCAAACTCCCTCCTGCCCCGGCCAGGGTGCGGTGTGGAGGCCTGGGTGGGTGGGGGCCCCCTCAGAGAGTGCTGCCCCCGTTCCAGCCACCATTATGGCTCCTTGCCATCTGGAAGCACAGAACACCTGCCCTGGGCCAGAATTAACTGCCCCTGGGATGCTGGGGCTCAGGATCAGCGCTGTCTCCACGGTGCCCCCTGGCAGCCTTGTGCAGAGGTGCCTGTGTACATGGGAAAGGCTCAGAGGTGCTCTGCAGGCTGGAGATCCTGCCGGCGTGTAGGAAGGGCGCTCCAGGGCACCGAAAACAGCCCCAGCACTCCTGCTGGGGAAGGCTTCTGGGCACCCTGCGGATGGCCCTGGGCAGAGCAAGCGTGGTGGGGGGCACGGAGGGGAGCGCAGCTTCTCACCGGGTCCCCGTCATTGCAGTGATTCTGGAGAAGCCCATCCGGATCCCCCGATTCCTCTCCGTCAAAGCCTCCCATGTCTTGAAGGGATTTTTAAACAAGGTACACTTGTCCCGTCTGCGGCTGCCTGGGCCGGGACTCCTCTGTTAGGGGGCCGAAGCTCGACCACTGCGGCTGGTCATTTTCGGTGTCTGCTCTGGGACATTCGGGTGTGGGTGTGACTCTGCTCTGTTATTTGAGCTCTGTCCTATGAATCATCAGTTGTTATTCATACTTAAAATGTAATGAGGAGAAGTTATACCAAAGAGGAATTTAATGAAGAAGCTAACACTGGGGAGAAGGATTTTTAATGAAGGGAATGTCTGATCTTCACCTGGTGGTTAGGACCGGCCAGTGGTTATTCAAGCTCCTTACATCACGAGGGTGGGCAGGCTGGTTCCCTGTTGAGCACAGGCTGCGAATCGGGGGATTCTTTGCTCCGAGCTGATTTGTCCTAATTTGAACTCTGACCCCTAGGACCCCAAAGAGAGGCTCGGCTGCCGGCCACAGACTGGATTTTCTGACATCAAGTCCCACGCGTTCTTCCGCAGCATAGACTGGGACCTGGTAAAACGTCGCACAACCCGGCAGCCCCTCCTGTGGTGGGCGGGCAGCCTCGTGGTCGGTGGGCAGGAGGGGATGGAAACGAGGGGTGTGGGGGGCACTGCCCTCCAGGGCCCCGGGGGTGATTTGGAAACTCACATTTGATTGAGAACAAGGAGAGCGGGGGGCCATGATAAGCCCCCAGGGGCGGCGCCTCTTGGCACCCCTGGGAGAAGTCTTGTGGGGCGTACCTTGGCCGAGCCAGGCCGCTGGGGTCCCGTGGGGGAGGGACATCCTCCATCTGTGACCAGCCGCCCGGTTGGCTCTGTGCAGAATCCGCAGGAGGGGCTGGCCCACAGGGTATTTTCTTCGGTTTCATGGTTGGTTTTCCAGAACCTGCCGTTCTTGATCCCGTCTCAGGACTCCGCTGACAGCACGGTGCTCAAGCCCTTTTGACTTGAGTGCTGCGGTTCCTGGTGTCAAAGGAAAACGGAAACTAATTTGTTTCAAAATATATAAACTGTTGCAGAATTACTGAAATAGAACCTTTAAAACATGCTTTTCTGAGGGAAAAAGGATTAGATAGCTGAGGAAGTGCAGAGCTGCAGCTTGAAGCGGATCAGAAGAAAGCCGTGCTCCGGGACCCAGGGCGTCCCCGGCCCCGACTGTTCCAGGCGGCCACTCCCACCGCGAGCAGAGACGGCTCTCGTCACTCCCTCTGGTCCCTGTCAGTGTCCTCCCGTGGGCTTCCCTCTGTGCATGTGTGGGGCCCTGCGGAGGGGGCAGGGCAGCCAGGCGCCCGCCCGGTTCCCAGGACCCTGGCCAGGGTGAGGGAAGCGGTCAGAGTGGAGGGCCTGCGTGGGACTTGAGGGGACGTTGTTTTCTGTGTGGGGGACGTGGAGACGGAGGAAGGGGAGGAGGCATCCTGACACAATGGGGGCAGGGTCCTCCACCCTCACGGGTCCCCAGAGGACCCGGCTCCTGGTCCCGTCTCGCCTTGGCCCTGGTTCTTTCTCCTTGTCGCCCAGACACGCTGGGCCTCTGCCCTCTCGGATTGCTGGCCATCCGAAGGCTCCAGCGGGTCCCTCGCTCGCTGTACGCCAGGCAGCACCGCATCACCCCGATGCAGTGCCCAGTTGGTGGTTTTCCTGGTATTCTAACCTTCTGGATCTGGAAGGTCTCAGAATAAACAAGTGGGCCGCAGGACGCCAGCTGGCCTTTCCCTGAGCTTTTGTACCAAGCCGTCAGAGGTTTAGGGTCTAGTGACTATGTTTCCCAGTTTTAGGGTTTCTGGGTGGTCATTTTGCCAATTTACAGTGGCATTTTGTATGGTGTGTGGCTCTTTGCTGGAATGTTCCGCATTCCCTCGGCAAGCACAGAGAATAAGGCTGACTTGACAGGCGGCTCCAGGCAGACCCTGTCTGTGGGTCCCGCATCGGTCTCTAGACGGTCTACACAGGTCTGTTCTTGGGGTGTCCCAGCCTCTCACGGGCCTGGTGCCCTTCCGTCGGCTGCTGAATGTAGCACCTGAAACATCAGCGTCTGAACGGTTTGAGGCCCGCGTCTCCTCCACAGACCTGGGCCCCGCACTCGAGAACTGCCCTGGAATAGCCGAGGCCAGGCTGTAGGGGCTGGCTTCCCCTTCACCATATTCCTGGCTGCTGCCCTGGGGGGGTGGCCCCATCCCTGGCAGGTCTAGGGTCTGACTTTTGTCCCTGGCCTGCGAGGCCCTGCACAGGACTCGCTGCCGACTGACCACCAGCTCCTTCCACTCTGCTCCTGGTGTTTGCTCAGCACTGACAACAGCTCTGGGGGATTTTAGGAAGAAGTTTCCGTATTTTGTCCAGATTTCTTTAGTTGTCTTCAGCAGGAGGGTTGGTTGGATTACCACTGCCTCTGCCATTAAGAGAAGCAAAGTCGGCGGCATCACCTCAAATTGCAACAAAACAAAACAGAAAGATGCTCGCCCACCACCCTCCCTGCTGTTGGAACGTGGAGCCACTGTAGGTGATGTGGCTGCTTCCGACCAGTGCGCACACACTGGGAGGTGTGCAGTGGGGAGCAGCGAGGTGCCTGGGCGGTGATGCGGGGGCAGGGAGGGCCCAGGGCTGCTTCCAGCTTCAGAAGGTGTATGGCGGCTCCCCCACCCTTCTGCTCCCCTATCTTCCTCAGGCTCCTCTTGGTTTTTGTTTTAAATTGTTTTCAAAATTTTACATATTTTTTAACAGCTTTATGAAGGCATGATTTACAAGCCATACACTCCCCCATTTAAAGTCTGCAATTCAGTGGTTTTAATGCATTCACAGAGTTTGCAACCATCACCACAATCAACTGTAGAACAGTTTCATCACCCCCAAAGGAAACCCCGTCCCCATGAGCAGTCACTCATTCCTCCTCGCCCCCTCCAACCACTGATCTGCTTTCTGCCTGTGGATTTCCCTGTTCTGGACAGTTCACATAAATGGAATTGGACACTGTGTGGCCTTTTGTGTCTGGCTTCTTTCACGTAGCATCATGTTTTCAAGGTTCATCGTGTCGTAGCATGTGTCCGACCTTCATGCCTTTCTGTGGCTAAGTGACGTCCGTTGTGCAGATCCACCACAGTCTGCTCATCCACTCGTCGTCAATGGACGGGGGGTTGTTTCCCCTCTGGCTGTCATGAGCAGTGACGCGCGTCCAGGTTTCTGTGTGGATGCTATTTTCTTTGCTCTCAGGCAGACGCTTAGGAGTGGAATCGCAGATCAGGTGGTGACTGTTTAAGCTCTTGAGGGGCTGCCCAATGGTTTCCCCCAGCGGCTGTGCCCAGTCCCTTTGAGGGCCCACGGCTGCTCTCCGCTGCCCAGAGCCCCCAGTCCTCCATGTGCAGGGGACGCGGCTTCAGAACTGCCCCTGGGTGGGCACCTTCTGTCGTAGGAGCATGGGGCCCCTTGGCCCGCAGGGCTTGTGGGTGCGCGTTCAGGATGCTTCCTTCACTGTGGTGTTTCCAGAGCTGTGAGGAAGGTGGTTGAGACCAGCGGGGGTGGGAGGTGTGGGGATTTGGTGCCGCATGTCCCCCGTCTCTGAGCATAGACCTGGACGGGGTCACAATTCCAGACCCACTCCCCAGTTCCCTGCTCCTCTCCTGCTGACTCGGACTGCCCTTCTCGGGGAGGTTGCTTGGCGTCCCCCTGCGGGTGGGGCCAGCGAGCATACACCTCCTCAGACCTCGAGGGCGTGGGCACCTCTGGGTCTCGAGGTTTGGGCTGCAGACACTGTGACCAGGCTTCCGTGGGGTTGACAGGCAACACAGCGAGGTTGTCTGTTGTCAGTTTGGAGGGAGAGGGGACCCCGATCACAGCAGCATCGGATACTGAAATGTGCCTCGTGTGCATTTGTGGCCCTGGGCTCGGTGCCTCCTGCAGGTGTCGGGTGACTGCGAGAGAGCCCCACAGAAACCCGTGCAACCCGCGCCTCTGAGCCACTTGCAGGCCCAGTGTTCCTGCCAAGCTGCGCGGCCCGGAGGCCTCTGGACCCGATCATTTGTGGGCGGGGTTCCTGGGAACGGAGGTGGGCGAGAAGTTCGTGGCAGGGAATGGCCGCTGAGGGCGAACCTGGCCATCTCCCCGCACGAGAGCCATGCTGTCCTCTGGCTGCAGAGTGGCTGTTCTGATGTCCCCCAACCCGGGGCCGCCCTCTGTCCTCCACGCTGTGGTGGCAGAGGTGACTGTGGCCGTGCGGACAGTGATCTGCTCCCCATCGGTGCCGTGCACCAGCTCCCCGATATTTCCACTTGGCCATCTAGTGTGACCAAACCAGACACCGGGGTGCACCGTGTCACACTGACTCCACGGCCCCTCCCACCCCAGCACACAGTGCGAGCTGACCCCTCGCTCAGGCCGCAGACCCTGCAGTCACCCTTGACCCCATTCTGCCTCTCCAGCCAGTCCTCGGGGACTCACTCTCCAGGGTCTGGGCCTTCTCCCCACGCCTACTGCTGCCATCTTGGTCTGAGCTACCCACATCTTGGCCAGTCAGTCCCCTGCTCCCTGCCTGGCCCCTGCCAGCAGCGGTCTCTTCTATCCAGGGACCCCCTGCCCCCTCCACTCAGGCTTCACTGAGCCCCTCGAGGGTCCCCGATATGTCGGCTCCTGCCTCAGGGCCTTTGCAAGGCTGTGCTCCACCCCCTCACCTCCTTCAGGCCATCACATCAGAACTGGGGCCCCCTGGCCCTCACAGCCGACTCCTCCCCTGCCTCCTTCCAGCATCCTCTCCAGTCACACGGAGCATGGCTAAGCGGTGGCCTGCACAGGAACGTTGCTTCAGGGCGGCACCATCCCTGTTCACTGCTTTAGACTGAGGAAAGAGGAGGTGACGTGCACGTGGGACACTCTGAGGAAAGCTGAGGCAGCCTCAGACCCTCAGAGCCCAGGATGGGGCCCGGGGGTGGCGGGTGGGCTTGGAGGACCCCAGCGAGCACCCAGCGTGCTGCCGGGTCTCTTCTGACTCTTGCCATTTAACCTTTTTAAAGGAGCCCAAGACCTAAGGCAGGGGATGGTTCAAGAAATGCCCCCTTTTCCACTTTTTATCAGAAAGTATTTCATACTGACAAAGGAATATAGATAACTGTATATGAAATGTACTGAATGACGGGAACGCCTGTGTCCCCATAACGCTGCCCAGTGTGGCCTGTCCCGCCAGCACCTGGGACCCTGCCTGTTCGCAGCGGCCTGTCCCAAAAGGCCTAGGTGATCTGTTGCATGAGTGGAGCCGCTCCCAGCCCTGAGGGCTGAGGGGTCCTGCTGGAGGGCTGGCTCCCCCCTGGGCTCCGTGTGGCCGTGTGGGAGGGAGCGGACCCGACATGACAGCTCCAGGAGGCAGGGGCTGGTGTCTCTTGCTTACGGCTCCATCACAGCTCTTAGGGACGTGCCTGGCCCAGCACAGGTGCGCAGCGCACACCTGCCGAGCGCATGAGGAAGTGAGCGTGTAACTGTGCGTGTGAGCGTGCGTGTGACTGAGCGGTCCCTCGCTGTGTGACCCATGTGCGACGGAGCACTGAGTGGCGCCTGCTCCGGGCACTCGACTCGCCGCCCTCTCAGGCCACGAGTGTGAGGCCAGGCCCTGTGAAGGGCGAGTCAGAAGCCACAGTCAGGGTCCTGAGAAGTCTGTCTCCCGCCTGAGGATGTTTCACCTCTGGGCATCCCCTCGGGGTTAGAAATAGAAACGGTCAATTACGGCTTTATTGGGTGGGGGGCTCCGGTGGGACAGGGACTTGCTGAGTGCCAGCGGGGGTAGGGGTGTTTCTGTCAAGTCCCAGCTCCTTTACGATCAGGGTTCCAAGATGTAAGAAAGAAAGGAAACTCTCAAAACCCGCTTCATTTGGTTGAAGTGGTGGGGCTGCTGGGGCGCAGACCCCGGGACGGCGTGGGGCTCCTGCACGGGCGGTTGGGCCTCGTGCTCAGTCCCAGGTACAGGGCCTGCACGGCCTGCAGGGCCAACCTTTTTCAGCTCAAGTAGGTTTTTTCTAACTTTAGATAGTATCTCTTAGACTTTGCGTTTCAAGGGAGAAAAACAATTGGCATTTGAATATGAGGCACACTTAAATGCTCAATTTCTTCCTGTTCCGTTCTGTGATTAAGTACGTGCAAAACAGTCCGGTAGAGACGATGCCCACTACTGACCTGACTTCTCGTCTTGTCTTCCAAGTTGGAGAAGAAGCAGGCTCTCCCGCCGTTCCAGCCGCAGATAACCGATGACTACGGGCTGGACAACTTCGACACGCAGTTCACCAGCGAGCCCGTGCAGCTGACCCCCGACGACGAGTAAGACCTGCCGGGGAGGGCGGGGGGTCAGGATGCCGTCCTGCTGCCAGGGGGGCGTCTGTCCATCGTCTGCGGTGGGTTTGGTGGGGGGAGGCTTACGCGAGGGCCAACCCAGCAGCCATGCTCTCTCTGCCCGTGCGCACAGGGACGTCATCAAGAGGATCGACCAGTCCGAGTTTGAAGGTTTTGAGTACATCAACCCATTACTGCTATCTACCGAGGAGTCCGTGTGAGGCCGTCGTCTGTGTCGTGGACACGTCTGTGAATGACCCCTAACTCTATCCTTAACCACAGCGTATGCATGCCAGGCTGGGCGCAAGGCTCCGAGGGCCGCCAGGGAGGGACGCTGGCCGCTGAGACCACAGAGGGAGGCGTCCGGGGCGCTTCTCGGAGCAGAACGGTCTCACGTCTGGGCCCGCGGCCGGCGCCGTGCCGGAGAAATTTGCTTCTCATGCCTGCATCGCGGAGGACCCACAGTGACCGTGTCCGAGGGAGAAACTATCCCACGATTTCGAAGGTGCACACTTTCCACAGAAACAGAACTGACCTGCTCCACCAGGAGAGTCAGCCTGTAATGTCCTGAGGAATAAAATGTCCCGATGATGTTGAAGCTTCCCTTTGATGCCTTTTTTCCGTGTGTGGCACCTGCCCATCGGCACAGGCACCACCACACGTGAGGAGTGAGCGGTGCTGTGTGTGCAGAGTGTAGGCTGGGGACGGGAGACGAAGTGCCTGCAGGGATACACTGCAATGGAGAATTTTTACAAATTCGGAACATTTTCTAAATCCTGGTAAGTTCCTGTTGTTAACATTTAACAAGTATTTTCATACCAAGCATGTAAGTAGCCACTATAGTCTAACGCTGAAGCCACACCTTACCCCGATGGGTGCCGCTGGTCCTGGCCGTGCACTGGACTGCCATGAGGAAAACGGGGTTATAGAGATTCTAAAACGTGGCTCGCCAGAGCACCAGTAGACCAAAAAAGAAAATTGAAAACTAAATCTGCACAAAATATATTTCTGAAAACACTAAGCAGTGCCTACATGATGTTTTCTGTTATGTATTAGATTTTTGCAAAATATTTTTATCAGTAATTACAATGCTCAGAATTAGAAAATTTAAAGAGATATATGTGTGATGGGCCCAAGCCTTAAAGTTAATAAATCTAGAACCCCACAGACATCCTGCATCTTCCTGACACGGCACAGCTCCTACTTCCGATAATCTGCTAGGTGGCACATGTCACTTGGTCACCCTCCTTCTTAGGTGAAGGGACAGCTTGAAAAGCCAAACTGAAGGTTTTCTACAAAGAGGAGAACCATCTGGGTCTTTTTAGGTCCGTAACACATTAGCTGTGGCGGGAGCCGGGGCAGAGCATGGGAGGGGTTCCCCGAGCACCCCTCGGGAGTGCATGTCTACTTCCCCACCACCTCGGTGCGCTGTGATGGGCCAGGCTCGCTCCTCCCCCGTGGGCTGGCGGTCTGGGGCAGGAGCTTACGGTAAGAGGAGAGGAAAGCAGCAGCTGCCGCGGGCCTGGCCCTGCTTCGCTGTAACTCAGCAGACGAGCTCGGCCTCCCGCCTCCCAGCGGTCACGGTGGGTTTCTCAGGGCACGGCGCCGTGTTGGTGTCCACCAGGCCCCGAATGCAGCCCTGTCCCCGGGCCACCCAAGGTCTCTGGACCGCCCACCCCAAGCTTGGCCCCTGGGTGGCGGAGCAGCTTTTATGGAGCAGGGAGACTTGTCCTAAGCAGCTCCCCATTGTAACGGGAGGACTTGCTCTAAAGGCCGAAATCAGAGACCACAGAGCCGAGTCCAGAGCCGACGTCGGGGTCTCTCAGGCATGTCACAGCCCAGTGTGATGTCCAGCAGCAGAGCCCTGGTCTGAGGGCGGTGTGGTCACTCGTGACTGGTGGGCAGAGCACTGGGATAAGCAAGCATTGCCTGGGGAGGGAGAGACCCCCGGGGTGTGCAGGAAGGGGTAGCAGACAGCCTCCGAGAGCCCCCCTTTCTCCTGGTGGGGGTCACTGCTGTGCTGGGCACAGTGACATCTTGGCTCAGGCAGCACAGGGGCCCACACTTTGTTCAGATTGAAAGCGTTTGTTTCAATTTTGCCAAATAGCGTCCCGGTTGCTTGTGTACAAAATGTGAATGTGTGCTGTGCTGGTGGTGAGGGGCAGATTCTCATATCCAGCCATTTGCTTTGTCAATTAAAGAAGGTGCAGGATGTGTTGAAGTCGGGTTTGGAAACAGAAATCCCAACATTTGCAGACGGCTCTGGTCACGATGGGGTGTGTCCTTTTGATGTAGTTCATGGAAACTGGTGACATGGCAATTGTGAAGTGGTCAGTACGTCTGTGTGGTCTTGTACAATGACTGAGCGGAGCCTGTCACCTTCTGTGGACGAGTCTCACCCTCAACTGACAAGGTCGCTCATATTCTCACACATCTATTAAAGACTTTAATGAAAATGCTTGCCATTGTTATTTTCGTTAAAAGTAGGTGTTTCCAGGAAGCAGAGGTTTTTGAAGCCATTTTTTAAAAATAGATTTAATTATCTGGAGAAGTTTTTGGTTCACAGCAAAACTGAGAAGAAGGTATGGTGAATTCTCATGTGCCCGCCACCCCCCCACGCAGTGCCTCCCCCAGTGTCCACACCCCGCAGAGGGCACTTTCGTCATAACTGACAAACCAGCACAGACACGTCGTCGTCACCCAGAGTCCACATCTACATTCTGGTGTTGGACATTCTACAGGTTTGGACGAAATGCGTGATGACGTGGCCACCATCACAGATCCTAGACTAGTTCCACTGCCCTAAGGTTCTCCGTGCTCCCCTCCTTGTCCCTCCCTCCCCCCACCCCTGGTCTTTCCACTGTCTCCGTAGTTCAGCCTTTTCCAGAATCTCTCGTTGTTGGAATCACACAGGATGCAGCCTTTTCCGACGGGTGTCTTTCACGTAAGTCATTTGCATTTAAGGTCCCTCCGTGTCTTCCCAGGACTTGTGTGAAGGAAAGCATCGACCTCTGGAAGTTAATCTCGGGTTTTCGCATTGTGTCCCCTCCCCGCCCAGTGCCCTGCAGCCGCCGTGGCTGTGGGGGAGACAGGGGATCAAGTATGAGTCGGCACCAAAGTCTGGCTCTTCTAGAATCTGGGTCCGACCAGCACTGGAAGGAAGACTGCCTACAGACGCTCTTTCCCCCACTTTCCACTCCCACTGGAAGCCTGAGCAAAATGTGGCTGACTCAGAATGTTTTGGCGATGGCGCTGGCCCGTTCCCTCCCCTTAAATTCCGTTTGAGGAGAAGCTGCTCTAACCCTCGTGCCTGTCGACGACGAAGTGCCAGGGCACCAAGGACAGGATCTTCACCTCTGGTTGTAATCGCGGCCACATAATGAACAAGTTCATTTGGGGAATTGAAACAGCCGTGAAACGCGAGATGAGTCAGTACAGTTAGGAACATGCCCTATCCTGAGCCAGTTCACGTGTCCGTAGACGGGGCCGACGGAGGTACGGACACCCAGGGTCTGCTTACCTGCCTGGGACTGGGTACATCTGCCAAGCGGCTCTGTCCATTTTCTGCCTGCAGTAAGGCGCTCTGCTTAGCGTGAGCCAGAAAAGAAAGAGGATCCAATGTTTCAGTCTCAACGCAGAGAGAGACACAAGCAGTCCACAGATACATTTTTTTTATATATATATAATTTTATCTATTTATATTTCCCCCAAAGCCCCAGTAGATAGTTGTATGTCATAGCTGCACATCCTTCTAGTTGCTGTATGTGGGACACGGCCTCAGCATGGCCGGAGAAGCGGTGCGTCGGTGCGCGGCCGGGATCCAAACCCAGGCCACCAGCAGCGGAGCACGCGCACTTCACCACTAAGCCCCAGGGCCGGCCCCACATACATTTTTAATATGACGTAGAGTAGAGAGGAAGTGGTTCCAGCAGGTGCAGCAAGAGCGGGGCTCCTGCGCGGGCCGGGTTCGAGGGGAAGACAAGGACGCCACACTGCACAGACGGGCAGCTCACCACACCACGTCTTCTGTGCTTTCCGCTAAGCACTGAGCAAGGTGGCTGTCGACGTCCAGCTGGGCCAGCCTGCGAGGGAGAGGAGAGGTGGTCACTCACACAGAGGGACACGCTGACCTCGTGCAAGGGCAGCCCTGGCCAGAGCACGTCGCCCACCTTCACGCCCTCCCCAGCAGGTGCTCACAACTGCACCAAAGACTGGTGGAAGGAGGCCCACGACGGTCTCTACAGCTGGTCGGAAACAAGGGCAGGGTCCAGGAGGAGGGGGCCGCACCAACCAGAAAAGGCCTTTCCAAACCCTGTTCCTGGGGTCAAAGGTTCTCAGTGCGCCCTGGACTCACAGCCTCCAGAGCACCTGTCAGACGCGTGTTCTCAGGCTCCTGCGTCTGAGGCTGGAGGGGCACCCTGTGTCTGAACGAGCCCCACAGGGGATTCTGGCGCCCACTCATCTTGAGACTCTCGGGGTGCGCAGTGAACTAATGGAGCCTGAAAGTCAGCCCCGAAAGCCCAGCTGCCCGCCAAGGGAATGAGCAGAACGGGCCGGCCTGACAGCGGCAGCGGGTCTCTTGCCGGTCTCACGGTCAAGGGCGGGTCCTTCCTCACGCCCCCGCCTGCCCGTGGCAGGAGCTCCATCTCGTCTGTTGGACAAACCCATCAGGTGTGTCTGCATCCACAAATGGCCAGGGCGTCCCCTCCTCTCTTAAAACCACCACCCCACTTGGCAACCCGGAGATGCACGAAGGTGGTGCCCCGGAAAGCAATCTCTTCATCTGCAAGAGGCAGGAAACAAGGGATGGAGGTGGGTGTGCAGTTCGGGTCCGAGAATCGTCTTGACATGGAGGCACGGGGATTCAGTCAACTCGGGCTGCCGACCCGCCTTCTGGAGGCTCCAAGGCCTGTAGGTCGGCCCCTAGGCATCCTGCGGGGTGTGGGAGGGGTCTGGATGCGCGTCACAGAGCAGGCCTCTCATCCCTGCCCTCCACTGACCCCGGCAAGGAGGGAAGGCCATCCCTGATGTGCTTGCGGCCCGTGGCCGGGCTCCTGGCCGACTCCCGGAGGGCGGCAGAGCAGCGGCGCCCAGCAGAGCTGCGGGGGCTGAGAGGCGGTTTCAGCCCGGACTCCTGCCAGATCCTGCCCGAGGCCACATGGCTCCCTGTCGCATCGTGCCCTGCACACCGCTGCTGGGCACCGCGCCTCTTGCAGACTGGCCGAGGCCACGGCTGCAAGCAGTGAGGCTCCTGGTGTCCACCTGCCATCTGGGGCCCGCCCGTCAGCCGGCCTCCCCTCAGCTCCTGGGGCCTCCTGCTGTTGGCCAGGGCCAGGCCAGGCCCCTCCTGCAGCCCTTCTCACACCCCGGACAGGCCCTGCCTCCCTACGTCTCCCTAGGCTCAGCAGCCTGGGGGATGACCCCCTCCACACTGGGACTTGTGTGTCCCCTCAGCCTCTGCCCTCAGACCAGGTGAGTGCAGGGAGCATCACTGACCCTCGGGGTCTGCTCTGCTCCAGCAGCCCGAGGCCACTCCCTCCTGTGGCTCCCATGCCCATCCGGGTGTCACAGCGGCTGGGGGCCCCACCTGCACCTTACAGAGCAGGACACACCTCACTAGTCTTGCCCCGCCAGCCTTCCCCATCGGGTTATCTGGGTCCCTTCCAGCAGCTGGGCGGAGAGGCTGCCCCAGGCCCACTCGGGCTTATAAAATACCACAAGTCCTGTAGTGCCCTCTGGAGACGCCCCGTGGGTCACGGCCTCTGAGGTAGTTTGGACACCCTGCCAGCCAGCCCAGATGGCCTCTCCCTACCCTCAGAGACCTCCCAAGACGTGGCCTATCCTCCGCCCACCTCAGGCTGTCCTGGCAACCAGCCGAGTTCACTGGCCAGAAAGGAAAGGCCCTTCCCTAGACCACAGAGTCACAGCCCTGAGCCCAGAATGACCTCCTTTCACTGCAAAGCGTGGGGAGCCGAGGGCTGAGGTCTACGGCCACAACAGGCCAGCCTCTCACCCAACCTAACCCCACAGCCAGCTCCAGCTGCCCCCAGGAAGCTGTGCCGGTGCTGGTGGCCTTCAGCTGCTTCTCAGGTTTGCAGGCCTCGGCCAGTGCATTCTGAAGTCCCTGGGGGCCACTCAGCCTGTCCTCGGACCCAGCCCCTCCAGAGGCTTTCTCCAAGGCTGCCAGAAGATTCTAAGTTCTGGACCTAGGCCATCTTGTCCAAGGATTTCTAGGTGACGTCTCTCAGGTCGGGGGCACCCCCTGGGACCCTGTCAGACCTCCGCACAATAAAAGATCTTCGTCTCGGCTGGATCGCACACTGTGCATCGCAGCCCTGCCTTGCAGACGTACTCACAACCCCATGTGTGGGCGGCTGCACAAGAGCGGGGCTCAGCCGAGACACGGCAGTGGCTTCTCAAGGCGGACAGGGCACAGAGCAGGCTCGGCGCCCAGCAGGTGGAGGGGCCTTGGAGCCGTAGGATCCCAGCGACCGACCCCGGGTCTCAGCACACAGACGGGGACAACTCAGGTTCCGGTTTCTTCACATCAACTGGCCCATGGGAGCCGATCTTCCCCACCACATACATGCCTCACCTGCACCAGAAACACGGCATATCGGAAGACAGCAGCAAGGGGACCTAAGGGGACAGCGTTTCACACACGGCCCATTGAATCCAGTATGTAATTGTCCGTCACAGCAAAGAATAAAACGGTACTCTGAGTGACCCAGAGACCGCCAAGGCTTTGAGGAAGAGGGTGAGCTAGTCCTCCCGCACACACTCCCCGAGGCCCCACTCCGCCAGAACGCAGGCCATCAGCAGCCTCCCTCGGACCAGCCCCGCCCCTCCCGCTGGTCAGAGGGTGCTGCACTGCCGAAAAACTTCCTGAGAATCACTCAAAGCAAACGTTTTTCTAGGGACAATCACAAGACAATGTGACAGTTCTGTTACTGTGTCCAGCTGCTAAACGGGACCCCCCCACGGCCAGCCTGTCTCTTTGCCCCAGGTCCCTGCTATCTGGGGCTCAGAGTGGTGTGGGACGTGTTGCCCACGACAGGGAACTTCTGTTGTCCCCCAGTCGTTGCTGCAGCCGAAGGCGTGTGTTCTGGCCCAAGAACTCTCTCTCCTTTATAATCAAGTGGAAGAACGTGCTAGAAGCATTCCAGACACGCTGAGACCTGGATCCAACTGCACTGACACCTACTTTGGAAAAATCAAGGCACTCTGCCAAGCCTCAATTTAACTGCTTAAAAAGCTCAAAACTGAAACTTTTTTTCCTCTCTAACTTCCCTGTCTTCAGGAGTCTTTTCATAGACTGTACAGAAACACAAGCAACCCAGGGACAGAAGGCCCCCCCAGGACAGGGAGGAGGGCTGGGGCGTCCTGACAACATCAGAAATCTTCAGGGCTTCTGCCAAGAAAATGAATTTCCTTCCAGGGCTTCTGCCGGTATCTTCTGTCCCTGCGTTTCTTTTGATGGGTATGAATCAAGAAGACTTCACTATTTTAAAAAGCGTTCAGTGCTTTGTCAGAATTGGCAACGGAGCCAGTATTTGCAGTTTACAATAATCCCAAAACATCGGTATAGGCGAGAGGCGGGTACAGTGAGATGCTGGGTCTGGAAATGTTTTGCAAGTTCTCTGGTGCTACTAGGAGAGCTGGGGTATCTGGCTGTGGGCCGCTTCACCACCCCTCCTGCCAGGCCCGACTTGTACCCACTGGGGCTTCACCCACGCACACAGGCCCCACCTGGGGGCAGCCCCTGCCTCGCCCAAACCAGCCCAGTCTCATCTCCCTGTCCCACCCCGAGCTGGAACGGGCAGGGGGTGCTAGCAGGGTGCCATTAGGGCTCACCCCCAACACCAGGCTCTCAAAGGCTTGGTTCCAATAAAACATCAAAGATTGGAGGAGCCTACGTATTTGACTTTAGACGCGGATGTCACCTCTCGGAATAAGAAGTAGCGTCTAAAGATCTCCTGTGCAGGTTTTGTGTTGTGTATTTTGATAACTGGTCTGATGGCTTTTTGTTTTTGGCATCAGCTGCTAATTCTGGAATCCATTCCCTTCACCCTCCAGGGCTGTTTTTGCTTCTGGAAGACCAGGGACATGCATGTAACTTAACCACACAGTTTCCCGACCACACAAAATCTGCAGCAGGTCCAGTTACCCAAACCTGGTATCCTCTCACTTCATCTGACCAAGCTCCTTCCGCCATCTGCACCCTCATGACCCTCACGACCTCCACACCTGTGTCCTTGGTGTGTGACATACGGCCCACGAGCTGGGTGGTTTGGATTCAACTTCTTAACAAAATTGGATTCCATCCCCCTTAGTTACTTACTTATACTTAAACATATAAAGATATGTATTGGGTTTTTTAAAAAAACAAAAAGCATCTCTGGACACAAATACAAAGTCTTCATTGTTAACACCTCCAACCACCACTGGGAAGGCACTCGTGAGGCCGCTGAAACAGGAAACTGCTCCCCGACCCACAGCCTGGCTTGGCCCTGGAGGTGTCTCAGCCTGCAAATGTGGGCACCACCAGGTTCCCGACCTTGACCTCGGGTGGACTGGGTGGAGCCGGACGACAGGCTCCCTGCCTTCCTGCTGTGGAGTCCCAAAGCCTGGCAGGGAGACTGCAGCCAGTCCGCAGAGCCCCAGACAGTGGACCAGCAGATGGAGCCCCAACCTATAGCCATGCGTCCTCTGGCTAATTGGCACAGAGGTTGCCAACCTGATGCATAAAATATTACTTTAAAAGGCAGAAGCTGAGCTCAGGCATCTCTTAGCCTCCTAAAAATGGCTGGAGTTTCCAAACAGGGCTGGGGTCACCGGGCTGTGGCAGCAGAGGGAGGAGAGGCCCAGGGCTGCGCGCACTCACCCAGGGCCGAAATCCGCCTGGCACATGGGGCAGCTTCGCAGGGTCAGCGCGCCCTCCACCGACGGCTGCTCCTCGGCGCTGGGGGTCCCGCGGGGCTCGGGCGCGGGGCGTCCTTGCGGGGACCGGGCAGGGGAGCCCAGGCGCCCCCCGGCCCGGCGGAGCACCCGGTAAGAGCGGCCCCGGCCTCGCCCGGGGGCCGGCGGGAAGGGCGTCCAGGAAAAGGTCTCAGGTCCGACGGTGAAGACCTCGGGGGACGTGGCGCGCTCGGGGCCGCGCCCGGACTCCTACAAAACGGAGTCGTTGGGCGGGGTCATCGGCGCCCCGGCCCAGAGACCCCCCCTCAGGCACCCCGTCGGTGCGGGTGCACGCACCTGGCCAGGGAAAGCGGGCAGCGGCGGCGGCTCGCCGTCCATGTCCAGATCCTCGCTGGCCGCGCGCAGGAGCTCCGCCCACAGCCGCGCACACTCGCCACCGACCCCCTCGAGGGGCCCGGGGCGGGCGATGGGGGGCCTAGGGGGTACGGCGGGGGGCACTCAGGGGGGCGGCACTCGGCTTGGGGGCTACTCAGCGTAGGGGGACAGAGCAGCGAGGAGTAGTGGCTGGGCGGCGCGGGAGGGCACTCAGAAAAGGGGGCACTCAGTGGACGGGGTCCTCAGCGCGAGGGCATTCATGCGGGGAAGGGGTCTCAGGGGGGAAGGGGCTGGAGGAGCGAGGGAGGGCGGGCGGAGCGGGACCGAGGAGGGTTCCGGGAAGCACGAGGAGATGTGACACCGGCCACAGCTCGGCTGGAGGACCTGGGCCCCCTCCCCCATTCCTCCCCCCGTCAGCCCCCCACCCCCGGCCTCACCCGCCCCCCGAACATGGCCTCCGACGGCTCAGCCTCAGCCGCGGCCTCCGCGCCTCCTCCATGCGCCGTGAGCGCGCGCGTCCGGCGGAAGTGAGCGGCTTGCGCGCCCGGACCCCGCCCCGCCCCTGTCCTGGACCCCCAATCCTCGCCGCGGACCCAGATACCGCCCCGCCCCCGACCCCGGATCCTTGCGCAGGCTCTCGACCTGCGGCCCAGTGGGGAACTTGCTTCCGCGCCCGCTCTCGCCCCGCCCCGGACTCCGGCCCGGACTCGGACCCCGCCCCCGCCCTGGACACGGACTCTCTAACCTTGCCCTAGACCCCGACCCCCACCCCAACCTGACCGTGACACACCCCTGACCTGTGCGCTGGACCCCAGGGCCTGCTCCCCAGGCCATGCAGCGACCTCCGCTTTGTGACACTATCAGAGAGGAAGGTATCCTGAACCCAACCTTTGTGGAGACTGAGGCCAGGGGACCTTTCTGAGGCCAGGGGACCTTTCTCCACCACAGAGGTGGGACTGAGGTGGGACTGAGGTGGGGGAGGCCGACTGGCCCTGAAGGAGCCATTTCCAGCTGAGGAGGGGTAGGGGGAGGCCCCCCCCAGCCCAGCCCAGCCCACAGCTGTCACCCCGCAGGCAAGCTGGAGTCTGCAGAGGCCTCCGAAGTCACACTAGGGGATCCCTGCTTGTCTCTCCAAGGCGTAGGTCCCTCCTCAGTTAAAGCCCACCCACCTGGCTGCGAGGCCTGCTCTGGCTCAGCCATCTCCCACTGCCTGGGACAGCTCTGAGCCTTGGTTTCCAGCTCTACGGACAGGGCTATCCTCCGCGGAAAGATCTCTGTTTACTCACAAAAGAGAGGAGCTTGGTTTTCTTAATTAAGAGAAAAAGTGAGGCAACAAAGTCTAGGTGGCTAGCCAGGGCCTGGGGTCCTGGGCGGGGGGTTGGGGCCTCGGGTGGAGGGCCTGTGAGGGGCTTCCCTGATACCCGGGTCGCTCCCACTGAGTGACCATGCGATCCACCACTTGGTGGCAGCAGATGCCCAGGCACCCTCGGCCACTACTGTCCCTGTGCCTGTCCTGACTGGGCTTGCACCAGTGCCCTGTGGGCCCGGAGGTGGACCCCTGGGGTGACTCCCGCTTACCGGGGCTGGGGCGTACAGGGGGCTGGGTGGCAGGCAGCTCCTCTCCACGGACCACAGGCAGACGTCACTCGGGCTGCTGGGACTCCTTGGCTCTCCCCACCCTAGCTGCTTTGGGCCTCTGCTCTGTACCCCCTTCCAAGGGGCTCCCACAGCCCTGTTCCGGTCTCCTCACCTTGGCCCCTCTTCACGTCACAATCCTGTCCTCCTCCCAGCCCCAGTGCTGGGCACCCCTCTTGTAGCACACTGCAGCGCCAGGCCCCCCATCCCTGAGTCAAGGCCAGCCGGATGACCAGTCGTCCTCCTGTGGCATTGAGGTCATCCTTCATCCAGCTGCCGGTGCAGACCCCCAGAGCAGGGCCGGGTTCATTCACCAGACATTCCCTGAGACCTGACCTGTGCTAGGGACCTCTCTAGATGCCGGAGACCCGACCTGTGCCGGGGATCTCTCTAGACGCCGGAGACCCGACCTGTGCCGGGGACCTCTCTAGATGCTGGAGATAGAGTCCTCACCCCCAGAGCCTGCCAGCTGCTGGAAAACAGACTCCACTTGCATGAACACACGGAGCTACTGTAGCAGAGGGTCTCGGGGGCCCCTGGAGGAGGTGACCTGTGGCTGGCCTGCTCCCAGGTGAGAGAAGCCCAGGTGAGGAGCTCCCAGGTGTGGCACATTGCAGATGCCAGCTGACCAAGGACTCCCAAATAGCTTGTGTCTGGGGTTCCTAGACACGGGCCCGGCTGGCCCTGGCTTCAGCCTCTGCCGCTTCAGAGGCTTTCTTGGAAGTGTCACCACACTTCTGCAAGCCAGCCGTGGGGACTTCCAGGAGGAATGGCGCCAGGCCTCCAGAGGCAGTGGGAGGCCCCGCCAGGCCTCAGACAGTCAGGGTGTGCCCAGCACTCAGGCCATGCTGAGAAGCTACGTGGGGATGTCTGTGTGAGCAGCTGCTGCTCCTGATCAGGGCCCTGGGAACTGAGCACCGGGGTCTCCAGCATCCCGGCCACTCCAGGCCCCTTCCGGCCTCTTCCTCTACAGATCTCACATGGCCTGGCTCCCTGACTCAAGAAGGCAAGGCAGGAGGGAGGAGGGGTCTCAGACGGACCCAGGATGACTGAGCTGGCGTGAGGGTGGGTGCCCCGAGGAGTTGCAGGCCCCAGGGGGCTGTCAGGGCTGGGCTGAGCCTGGCTCCAGCCGATGGCACAGAAGGTGGGGGTCACCCACCCTCCTTTGGCCTTAGCCACCCCAATGGGCCTCATTTATCCTTGGCTTCCAGGGGAGGGGAACCGGACCCCAGGCCAGGCCTGCACTGACTAGGGGAGCAGATGCCCTTGGGGCCCCGGCGCTCTTGGGACAGCAGAGCCAGAGCAACATGTAAACGTTGTCCTCCCGGGGCTTCTCCTCTCTGGTTTCATCTGGCTACTGGGGATTAACTCCCCTCCGTCACTCCTGGGACCCACAGCCTAGGACACTTCCACGGAGAGCGGAGCTGGGGTGACCCTGCACCAGGCACACGGCAGGTGCCGGTGCTCCTCAGGAAGCCCTGCCCGCGCCCGATGCCCCCACCCGCAGCTCTCCCGACAGCTGCCTGCCACCGCCCGGCCTGCATAGGGGTGTCAGGAGGTGGGATGGGAGCTCCATGCACCCCGAGAGGCCCACCTTGTCCCAGCTGTCCTGGCCTTACCAGCAAGACTCGGTGGTGGTGGTGGGGCTGGAGGAAGTTTAAAAGTTGAACTTGATTAAAAGACACGTTTTCTGAGCCATCCGCTGCGGTGACAGGCAATGGAGCTTTACTGGAAAATAATTTCTGATCGGGACTGACGCTGGCACCGTGAAAACAAGCTTTTTATGAGCCAAAATTCATGTTTACAAAGAATATTCCAGCGTTTTGTAGGAGGCACCCCTCGGGCGAAGCAGAAAGTACTCAGTTGGGCAGGGGTGTCAGCGCCCCACTCTGCAGCCGCAGGTGTGGCCCAGCTGCGAGGCCACCTCACTCTGTGCTCTCTCTGGCTCTGTCCACCATTGACATGTTTGTGGATGATGAGCCAGACCCCCCCCCCCTTCAAGGCACCCATTCCAGAATCAGGGTGACGTCTGCAGCCAGCTGGTCAGAGCACGTCCCTCCCCAGCACCTTCCACTACCAAGGAACAGGTGTCTTGGCTCATGGAGTCCTCAGAGCAGGTGTGAATGGGCCTCTTCCTCCATAGGGGGCAAGGTTTGCCTCTGACTGGTCAGAGCCCCAGGAGCCCAGCTGGGGCTCTCGATCATCCTCTGCTCCAAGGCAGGGCCTGGGCCAGGCAAACCTGTCAGCCAGATCCCGCTCCAGAGCGGACTGGGGTGGTCTGAGCCCCACCTGGCTTCCCCACACCCTCCTTTGATTTCTCGGGGGTCAGTTCTGCCATCGGGCCACCCTGCAAATGGGGTCAAGATGGCGCAGGCAGGCCGAGTAGGGCCCAGGGCCAGCAGGCACGACCAGCCCCCGAAAGCAGCGTGGCCTTCCAGCTGCCAAGTGAAACCAGCGACGGGCAGGGCATGTGCTCGCAGCGCGGGGCTGCCGCCATCCCTCACCATGCAGCAGAACGGCACAGCACCCACTCAGGGGGCCCTGCCAGTGCCTGCTCACTGGGCAAGCACGGCCTCGAGGGCTGGGCCGCCTGCTCCCCGGAGCCCAGCCTTCTGATGCAGCCACACCTGCCAGCCTGTGTGTGCCAAGCAGGCGAGCCTGCCCGGAGCCAGGCGGTGGCATTGGTGGGTGTGCAGAGTGCCAGGCAGACAGGCTGGATTGAAACAGTTGCCTGGGAAACATTGCAAGATCCATTGGGCAGCAGAGCGGGCACGCAGGGCCCACTCGCCGGCGTGGGAGCAAGGCCCCCTCGGCCTCCTCAAGGCCCCTCCTCACGGCTGGAGAGGGGATAGGTGCCTATGGTTGACCCACCAGCAGTCAGCAGGCTAGAGCCAAGGGCTGGCAGAGCCTCCAGCCCCACCTCAAGGCCGAAAGCTGAGGGGCAGCTGGGGGGCTGGCGCGGGGGAGACAGCAGCCCCGTCTGCAAGCCCCGGCCACCACCTTCCTCCTCCTGGACAGCCACCCTCTCCCAGCGTTCCTAGTGGACCTTGTCACTTCCGTGAGGTCCCCACCTCTCATGCCCCCCGACTCCCTCCTCTGCCCTCCACTCAGCCACACTGGCCCTTCCTCTGTCCCCATGTCTCCAGCTCAGGCTTCTGCCCTTGCCAGTCTCCCCTGCCCCCCACAAGTGGCAGCTCCTGCTCCCCCTCTGGCTCTGCTCTGGTGTCCCCTCCCAGAGAGGCTGTCCTGACCGGGCTGAAGCCCCTCACCAGCCCCTCCATCCCGGCATCGTCCTGCTGGGTTTTCCTGCCCCCCTGATGGGAATTGTAGACCTGGGGTGCTGTCTGCCTTCCCAGGAGGGCAAGCCTGTGCACTCTGCCCCCCACAGTGTCTCCAGAGCCTCAGGGGTGCCCGGTGCAGAGGGGCTAGCCCACCAATCCTGAGGGGAGCAGGGGGGTGGGGGAACCACCTGGGCACCGTTTCTGTGGGGAACGTAAGTCAAGCAGAGACCAAGCTTTGGGGATATTGGAGGTTGAACAGTGTCCTCCCGAAATTCATGTCCACTGGGAACCTGTGACGGTGACCTTACTTGGAAATAGGGTTTTTGCAGATGGAATCAAGTTAAGATGAGGCCACACTGGGTTAGGGTGGGCCCTAAATCTAGTATGACTGGTGTCCCGGTAAGAAGAGGGAAGTTTGGACAGAGCCACACAGAGGAGAAGCCACGTGACAATAGAGGCACATCCAGGCAGAGGCTGGATGATGTGGCCACAAGCCCAGGGACGCCTGGAGCCCCCAGAAGCTGGAAGAGGGAAGAAGGATCCTCCCGTACAGCCTCTGGAGTGAGCGTGGCCCTGCCACACCTTGATTTTGGAC